AGAACTCAATGGACATGGTGACCTAATTTTCTCGTCCTTGAGCACAACTTAGCTGGGTTACTGGGATATTGACCTATTTTTGGAGATGTATTTTTTGTCAATGTAGGTGTATGATGTGTATATATATATATATATATATTATGATGGTGTAATATGCTGTATGCATGTAATATATATAATATAGCTGAGCATCTAACTGGTGCTCTATAGCTAAGCGGCTGAGGGTCGCCCCGGGGGGCATCCATATTCCAACCCCTTGCGTTCGATGATGCTAGATGTGTATACACACTATATAAGGACCCACTGCGACGAAAAAGCGATGTTCAATGGTTTTGTTCGCAACATGTTCACCAAAACGACGTGGTAAACCCACAATGCCAGGAACGCCTGGGACCCCTGTGTTTTACAGGATCAGAGGAACAAGGAGCAGCCTTCGAGCGCAGCCAACAGCGTCTTCCTCTGGGTTTTGGTGTCTTTTTCATATCTTTTTAAAGCTCTGAAAGCCCGATCCCAGGAATGCGCCCCAAGCCCCTGCCGTGCGAGCCATGTGACCTGAGCCGGCTCGGTCGCCGTGTTGACTTTCCATGATCCGAATCCGCCATGACCTGGCATTGGGTTCGAGGTGAAAGATGGGTTTTCTGAAGAATGGGGTGTCTCTCCATGTATAGGTTATGTTTGAGACGTCTTGGTTTTCTAGCCGCTCTAGATGTAGTCAAGACCTCCAGATCTCTACTAGACCTCTGGATCTCAAGACCCCTTTGCTGCTTCTCAAGATCTCGACCTCTGGATTGGATAGACCTTTAGCCCTCCAAACTCCATCGAGACCTTGAGACCTCTAGGCAGACTCAAAAGTTTTGGATCTCTACCAGCACCCGACTTCACAGGTGCTTCCTGGTGACAAGTCCGGTGCCCAGAAACCACCTGTGGTCGGGTCTCCAAACAGCCTGGCCAGGAGGGTCCTGGTAGACCATTCTAGACCTCTAGATCTCCTAAACTCTATAGATCTACCAGGACCCTCCAAGGGGTGTCTATTTATAGCCCCTTAGCCGTTAAGGGGTGTCCATTAACCACCCGTTGAAGGCACTGTTTTCACGTCTTTGGATCTCAAGAGCTCTCTGGATCTCAAGAGCTCGAGATCTAAACCTCCAAGGCCTCTAGATCTCGGATCTGGGCGTTTAGATCGGAGCTTCCTAAATCTGTTTGGATCTCAAGACCTAAAATGGATCTCAAGACCGATAGATGGATCTCTGGACCTCTATAGATCTCTAAATCTCTCTGGAACCCAATACGTCTAGATCTCTGGACCGTCTGCTTCTACACCTCTGGACCGTAGATGTCTAGACACACTGTTTCTGGTCTCTCGCAGGGATAATTCAGGAGATCAAAGCCGGCCGGTTGGCGCCTGGGGGTGGTTTTCTTCTGGCTCGGTCACACCCGGTCGATGGACTTCCCGCCGTCCGCACAGGTGCCGGTTCATCAGTTCGGCGGGCGAGTGCAACTGCTTAAGTGAGCGATACAAGCTGGAAGAGACCACGATCGGGGAAACCCGGCCCCGCCTGGTTGGGCGGTTTTGGTTCGATTTCCCGAGGACTGAAGCCCTGCTTGGAGGTTCTATTTAACCCCGGCTTCCTAGAAAGTATTCCTGGACCGGGGCCCAGCGCGCCATGTTGACTGGACAACAAATGGCTTTGTTCTAGATTCTAATGATGTTTGCAGACTTTCCAACTTATTGAACCAAAAATCACATATATATATATATATATCCACCCAATCTGGACAATGAAAACAGCCTTCAACTCCCTGATTCTTCTGCAAGACATCCAAACGTGCTTGGCTTCTCACTTTTTAAGTCGTTCCCTCGTCGCTTGAAACGCAACGAACCCCCACAAAATCGTGGTTCAACACCCGTCAAACCTGCTTCCCCCTGACTGCAGCAACTATGAAAGTGGACCAACATCATGACAAAATCCAGTTTCCTGAACCATCCAAGGGGTGCCCAATGGAAGCCTATAGGTAGTGTGGGGTAGTCCAGCCTGGACACCCCGACAGGATGGTCCTGGTTTGTAATTATTCGGATTGAAATGTGTCTCAACCCAGGGGCCAGGACGTCCGCTTCCACGTTGGAGGGAGGCTTAAACTTTGTTTTCAGGTGTTACCAACCTTCCAAGAAAGCGCATTCAATCCTTGAAGATGCGACTCTGAAGCCTGCACCTTGGGTGCCAGGTGGGGGTTTCTCGTGGCTTCACATGCCCGGTGCAGGGGGGCCACGAAGGCCAGTCGTTTCTCAGGGTGAAGAAAATCCCAGACGCTTGCAGGCTCGGTTTCTGGAAAGATGCTGTTTTGAGCAACACAGATCACCTTACAGAAAATTACAAGAACATGACCCTGGCCATCTCAGATTGAAGAGTCTTGCCTAGTACAAACGGGATGTCCAACAAGATCATCACCCCGTCCTGCTCCAAGGAAGGTGGCTTTGGTTCAGTTCACAAAGCCTGGGACGCTTGGCTTCAGCCCTTCAGCGATGGGAACTTGGCGCCGCGGAGGTTTCGGGATGCATGATATTCAACCCTAAGGCTCCTGAGGTACATCTTCAGATGGTCTGATCCCTTTAGACCCATTGAGACCGAAACAGCGACACGGGCGGCGCCTCGAATCAAGGTTCAGCCTGGGCCTTGTGCTAAGGAGATCCAGGTCGTTTGTCCTCAAAGAGGATGCATCCAAAGGAGTTCAATTACAGCATCTACCAGGGCCCCCGCTGCCAGGGGTGGGGGCCATGGACATCCCGAAAAACCTCTAAGGAGCTATAATTGGACACCGCACACCGCCCGGGGGCCCTGGTACTTGGTTTTTGAATGTGTTAATTTGATTATTGTTTAGTCTTTTCCCCAGACGCTCCGTTCACATCCCTTGGTTCCTCGAAAGGTAGGGGTTTGAAATCCCCAGACCCCTCCATATGAGGGTCCGGTCCCTTCATATGAGGGTCCAGGAGTGTTTGTGTCACTACAAACTATGAGCAGCTGCAGATCTTGGTTGACACCAGGGTGTTCTATGTTTGTTATTGGAAGGTTGACAATTCCAAGGGGTTATATAATTGAGGATGGTGCCGCCATGGCCGACAAGCCATTCCAAGAGGGTGATCTATGACAGGCTTCAGGTGTTTTGCACTTTATGGTTTCTAAATCTATGAGTGCCCTTAACAATAGTCGACCTTATACTATACAGAAATGCAGCGCACTCCCAGCCATAAACAACAGACCCTTCGTCATGACTCGTCATGCATCGTTTTTTCAGACCCGGTTCAACAGATCCGTTGTTTCGGGCTCGTCGGACCTGGTGAAACGAACACCCCCGTCGGACCTGAACCACCTGAAACACCCCCGTCGGTTGCGGAGAAAAGAACCCGAGGATCAGGCACTGGGCACCATGCGTGCAGTGAAGCGCATCGAGCAGCTGGGTGCGAGAAGAACGGACGTTGTGGTGCGAGGACGACCTTCGGTGGCTCCACCCCAGGTGGACACGCTCCACCCAGTTGACCAAAGCAACAAGACCTCGGTGGGATGCTTTTTTTGGGGGGGATGGCACCTTCTTGCGCAAGGAAGGTGTGAGGAAGTTCTTGAACGTGTCAGATCTCATACTGGTCAGTGCCTATACTGGTCAGGATAGAGATGAGGTGATGTTTCAAGCTACATCCTGGTTTGTCCAGACCATCGGATGTTGGTTTGTCAACACCATGGTTCTTTTCCGTCCCTTGTGAGTCGGTCCTTTGGGAACCAGGGAACCCGACCGGTTTCTTCGGACCTTCCCCAAACGGTACGTACGTCTTCAGGCCGGTCGGCGGTGGTTTGTACCTTCGGCGCGACGTTCGTCGGAACGGGATGGAATCGAAGCCACCGAACACCGAAGAAAGCGTGAAACCGCAGAAGAAACGTGCTTTTCAGTGCCCTGTCAACGCAGCTGCTCAGCTGCTCAGGAAGTCAAAGGCCTTGTCACTGGAGGACGAGAATCGTGAAATTTCTCCGTTTTTCTTGGGGGCCGAGCCTGTTTGGCTTTCAGTGGTTTGTCGACCGAAGACGACATCTTTGTGTTCAACCATGTTTCACCTTTACTTGACATGATCGATCCCACTGACTATGTTTGTTTGGTTTCAGGTGAGTTTTTCACCACCAGATGTGGTCGACCTTGTCTCGGGAACACGAGTGGTTCTTCTAGGTGATGGTTTTGGATATTTCTATTTTCAACCCTTACTTGGGGATGATTGGACCCCCTGACTACTATGTTTCAAGTGAGGTGAAAACACCAACCAGTTCTTGTATAGGGAACGACCGTGTTGACCCTGGGTTTGGTATGGACCGTCATGCCATGCTTTCGTTGCCCCATGGGATGCCACACGAATCGTGTGGAGTGCTGCCGGGCATGGAGTTTTCTTCTTTTTTCAGACAATTGGGCCTAAATGGGGTCTCAAAAGCCGCGGCGGGTTTGGACGTTTGCGAGTCGAGCCAGTCTTGAACAGTTAGGACATGTGTAGGACCAGACACTGCAAGAGTTCGAAAGCACCACGGGTTCTATATGCAGCAGCAGGGCGCCCACACTGGTTCTATGCGTGTCCTTGAGTTCTTTGGACACGAAAGCTCCTAGGCACATCCGAATTGGCCCTGGGCTGGCAGCGGGTTCAACCTGACAGCAATGGTGGTTCAACGATGATCAAAGCAGCCACATTGATTTCAAGATGGCACCAAGCCCAGATCGAGGTGGTATTTTTTTTTCAGAGGATTTGGGGGTAAATGCTGCTAACAAAGAATCTGAATGAGGTGAATTAACTTTGAACTATTCTTCCTTCCAAGCATTGCAAAGCTTCGCGAAAAAGCCGACCCATTGATCACCGACTGTTCATGGGTCCAGAGGGATCTTACACCCCTGGTTCTTCGTCCGTGACGGTTTGAAGATCTGGTCCGGGAGACGGGAGACGCGAGACGCGGCAGGACGTGAACCGGGAGATCGAGATGCTCCGGGTCATGGACCATCCGAATATCGTGCGCCTTTATGCCACCTACGAGGATGAGCGTCCTTTGGAGTGGTCGTGGGAAGAACACACACCCGAGCACAGACGGGACTCAAGGGGGTCGACGGGAATGATGTTCATGGACCCATAGATTCTGAGATGTTTACTCCCTAGGGCTCCTGGCCCACATCCTGAGAAGGCAGTTAGACCCCCCCCCTGGCACCCCAAGCACCTTCTAAGGATGTGGTTGGAGCCCCCGGGACTAGCTTTGTCGTAGGACGGCAGATTTTGGGGGGGTCCAGTCCCCGGCAGGTCGGGGGTTTCAGTCCCTTCCTGAAGATGTCGTTGGATCCTGCTGGATTGGACTAGCGGTCTTGGACTAGTCACCAACCCGCTGCAGTGCTTTGCCCATGTCTCCAATCAAACGCTGATGCTTAGCAGTATAATGTGATCAATCCTGATCACGTGCTTTTTTTCTAGGTTAGGAACACCTCTATACTGGGGGCCCATTTCATTCACACTCTGTATTTCACACATTCATTCACACAAGGACCGGGATGTTTATTCATTAATAGCCCCGAAAAGAGTTATAAGGAGTGACTTTAACCACCCCTTGGTGGGTCCTGGTATAGATACAAAACACATACATACTCTGCATTTATCTGCAGACAGAGCAAGCCTTTTGGGGGACTTCCAGGAGTTGTTACAATAACGCATGTCATTGAAAGCACCGAAAACACTCAGGTTTCCTCTACCTCGTCATGGAGCTTTGCGAGGGTGGGGAGCTGTTCGACGCGCTGGCTGAAGCCACGCACCTCAGCGAACCCGTGGTGCAGGCGCCGTGCATCCAACGGTTTTTTGTTGGGCCATTTCCATCCATCCGGTGCCTCATGTCTGTTGCAACTGAGTGCTGAGAAGGGTCAAGGAGTCCTGGAAGCTGATGGAGGTTGAAACATCTTGAAACATTCTTGAAACTTGAAGCATCTTGAAGCCCTAGGGATCCAAGTACCTTCTCAGCAGGTGATGTGTTCAACACCGCTATGTAGGTGCCAAGAGGGTCCCGTCGTACCTTCTAGGGAAGCTGAATCAATCCCAGTTGAGGTGCTTCCAACTATTGTACCCAAGAGTGATCGTGAGTCCTCTTCTCTGCTGATCAAGGGTTCAGTCCCCACTTCAGTCCTACTCCCCATTGATCAAGGGTTCAGTGGCATTTCAGTCCCACAGTCAGTCCTATGGGGTATCCCATTAGCAGTAACAGGTGGTAAGAGATGATTCCCATGCTTGGGAAAGGCCTGCAACCTAACCATCATCGTCGACTGGGCTTTGCTTTGTTGGAAAAAAACACAAAAACAAGTTGGAACCCTCAACCAGGCCTTGCCCCATGGTGGACACCCCAAGATACCAAGCTTCAGGCCTTGCCCCGCCCCATGGCCCTCCAAGACCTTCCCCCGACCAGGTGGCGATGAGACAGGTCTTCGGCGCAGTGGCGCACTGCCACAGCAAGCAGATCGTCCACCGAGCGGCACGGTGGAAGGAAAGGTCGACCCACCGTAGTCGACCCACCGTGTCGGTTCGGGACGAGCGGTGGTTCCAAGCGGCAGGTATAGTGGTTCCAAGTGGTTTCTTGCCATGGCGCCAAGCATGTCTTAAAGGAAGAGCATGGCGCCAACATGGCAACCATGTTATTTCCCTGTTCACTGTTGTTCACTCCAGAATTGACTCCGTTGACCTCTATACCGTTGACCTCTCGGCCTCCAACATGCGAACGGTCCCGGACTAAGTCCGAAAGACCAGAGCCCTAACTAGAAGAGAACGGGAGAAAAACAACCGTTTTGAATCCACGTGATGGGTATCGAGACCTGAAAATCTTTGTCATCGACATTACTTTTGGTGCGGCTGTGGAAGGGAGAGGTTAGAGTTGGAGTACATGGAAGAGCACCTAGACCGGTTTCGAACACTCTTGTTTTTTCCAAAGGTGTGGTGGTGATTGGTCGGGTGGATAAATATGTTAGCTGCCGTAATGGAAGGGAACATGAAGAGAGCAGGTTTTGTTTGTTTGAACATCCGAGGCCGTCGCTGTTGGACCCACAGGTTCAACCATCGAAATCCCGTTCCCCAGGTTTCGCCACGTGTCCAAGATCATTTTTTCCGGTGAACGAAGACATGTTCGGTTTCGGGTGCGGTGTTTCCTCAAATGTTTTGATTCAGATGTTTCGAGGCGTCTTCCATCGATGAACACAGGGATATCAACGATGCACCGAGCTGCGATGGATGTGTTTGCGGTGTAGAATCCTCCCAAGACAGAAAAACCATAAGAAACCCAAGGATTTGAAGCCGGAGAATTTCATCCTTCAGAAGAACGCCGAGGCCGAGTGGTTCCGCCATCGAAATCAAGTCGTCCAACAGGATCGGAATCGGCTAATTGAGAGACGACCCGACACTGGGCCGAAAGTCATATACGATCATATATTTATAGAAGAACTTGGTCAGCACATGTCAGAAAACTACTGTAACAACAGCATTTATTGTATATTTTCAAGTACCAGGACCTTCCCAGTGACCTCTTCAGGATTGGCCAGTGACCTTTTCAAGACCGGCCTCACTCTGGGATCTCAAGTCACTGGGAAGGTCCTGGTCGGGGCAGTAAGGTTGGTCACAAGTGCCGGGTTCCATGTACTTCTTTGTGCTCAACAATCTAAAAGGGATTGATTTGGCCATGTCAGGCTGGGGGTCATAAGCAGGATACCTTGGTTGACCGACCGGGGAAAGTCGTTTGCTAAATGGTGGACCAGGGCTCCAGGTTGAACGATCCATTGCCATTTTCAATGAATCGGGTTAAGTTTGGTTTATAGTTATGGTATAGGTTGTCATTTGTTCAGTTGTGTTTTTTGGGGTTGGTCGTGTTTGTGTGGTTGGATTGCAATGGTTTGGGCTAGTTTAAGTTAGGTTTGGGGTTTACTAACCGAAATCACAGAGGACAGCGAGCCAACCACCACACCTGCACTCAAACCAAACACTGCCAGCCACAGCACAGCCAGCCCACATGGAAAGAGGCATCAGAACTTGCCGCTTCCTCCCCCTTCACCCTCGTGTAGCTCAGCTGCCCATGGGCTAAAGTCTTTGATGTTTCACCATGAAGCCGACAGGTGCACCTCAGAAAAAGCCTTGCCTCCAAGGTTTCTTTTTCTGGGTGGTGGTTTCAGATGTGCATTCTCAACCTTTACTCAGTCAGTATCAGGATTGAAGCCACTGACCATGATGTTTCAAGTTAATTGAACACGCCAAGCAGATTCAAACCCTGCAACCCTCCAAATCACAAAACCCGAATGGTTTCGGTCGATGTCTAGCAGTTTGAAGGAGTTTGGGGGAAGAATCTGACTGAAGTCATGTGAGTTGCGAGGAGCTTGTGGGTTCTTTGTTTGCCAAAAAGGCTAAGACTAAGCTATGCCGGGCTTAGCTGCTAGTAGGTAGCCTCCATCCATAGGCCCGTTCAGAACCACCAAGACTCCCCCAACTCGACATGGTTTCAGTGGCGTCTCCCGCTGTGAACGTCTCGCGTCGCGTCCGGCAGGTCGAAACGTCCCCGCTGAAGTTGATCGATTTCGGCTTAGCCACCTACTGCCGGGAGAATGAAGAGCTCACCGATGCTTACGGCCACTTGGGTGAAGTGAAGTCACAAGTCATGAAAGTCCGAACTTGGACATCCTCATTTGACGACCACCTGGTAGTCATGATCCACCAGTTACCATAGGCGCCCATAGGGGTGAAATGAGCTGTGGACACCACCCGCCCCTGAAAACAACGCCTCGAACTTCACCCACTCGAACCCGAACTTCACCCTCTTAGTGCTGTATACCGGTGCGCCGTAGGCGCCTGCGCGGTATACCGGTGCCAGGCACGGTGCTGTATGTCGCACCCGAAGTGCTCGGTGAGAAGTACAACCACGCCTGCGACGTGCCACGGCACCGCGACGTTCGGACGAAGCCACGCTTGTCGGCACCGTTGGTCGCGCGCGGTGTTCGCCGGCGGCTGACCGTGGTGGTGGGGTTCTAAGAGTCTGGTTGAAAGAAGTTGTGCTACAATGGAAGTTGGGGGCACAACTTAATCCCTATAGGATTGATGTCCTAACACACTGAATCCCTATAAATCCATAACACAACTTAAAGTTAAAGAAATATACATATATCGTTACGGGTCAATGACCTCACTTTACTGGAGTTGGTCATACAAAAACACTACTCAGGGAGGTAAACGAGCCGGTTTTACTGGGTCGGACTGGACTTGTAGGGAATATAATTGTTAGTGTCCAAGCTGTGTTTTGTAGGGGAACGTGGTTTGACACGATGCCATTTAAGTGCCCATCAGCTCTCATGTTCCAAAATGTGCCTAGTTCCCTTACCATTGCAGGGCCTGGCGCATTTACTTACACAAATCCATACAGTGCACGCGCATGCATGATGTGCCCAGTTGTGTTCAAGGTGTGCCTAAAACCTGCAAAAGCGATAGGCCCGCCCCCCTTGGTTAAAGATGTGTGGGTTACAGGACATCGGGCTATATACGCTGGAATCACATTGACGACTGAAAGACAGGTAGATCTCAGTGTATTTTGCGGAGCCAAGGTTTTCCGCATGCAGGATTCAATAGGATTCATAATGCGCATGGTAGCCCGGTGTTGTGGATTGGTATTGACAACCAATGAGCAGTATATCGTATCGGCTGGGAGATATCAACCAGCCTAGTTTGGGGAAGTAGTGAACTGAAGACTCAGGGGTTCACTGGGTGGTAGTTTCAGATAGTTTTAATGCTCAATTGTTGCTTGTGATTGATCCCATTGACTATGAATAATAATATGTGTCAACCGAGTTGAAACCACCCACTCCTGATTCATCTTTGGAGCTCAGGGACCTCCTCCCCCCCATCCAAAAACACACTACACCGACACTGGCCCAACTAGAGGTACCACCCCTGGATGTACCGGGACCGCCTGTCTGGTCGCCTGGTTACCTTACCCAGCGAGCGAGGTCTGGAGCTGTGGAGTCTTGATGTATTGCTTACTTTGTGGATCACCGCCTTTTCACGGCAAGCCCCTTGGGAAGAAGGTCTGGGTGTCGAAGAAGGGGGATACCTATCGGGAAGAAGAAGGGGGTGGTGTCGAAGGGGGATCAGGTCAGCGAAATGGAGAAATGGATAGAGTGCTGTGACAAGCTGGGAGTCCATTCTTTTTCGTTTCAAAATCATGAAACCAAAGCCTTGCAGAGCAGGAAGCGGACACAAAAAAAAGGCAGGGGGAGGTAGTTTGTCGAAACTTTGATGTTCAGGACTGTTGGGGGCTAAATTCATGGATCCCCCCCAAAAAAGATAAAACACACACGTAGCTGGTGCGTCACCCCGCGCAGTCCTCGAGTACGTCCTCCGTCAGACAGTCATGGTCCGCAGAGAACTCCTCTCCGACGGGTTCCGTGGACGAGAAGAAAAAACGAGCTGTTTGTGATTTGTGATATCCTCTTCCCTGTTTCACGGCCGAGAGATCATGAGAAATCCATCGAAAAAACGCGCCCTGATGTTTGGTTCGGTGACCCAAACAAGAAATTTGTCTTCCCCTGATCGCCTATCCATGGCTCTCCCTCATCTCCTTCCATCGCCCATCGCGACCGCTCATGGGACCTTGCAGGAATGAAAGTGACATCCTGGCCAAAGTGGTGCGCGGGAGGTATACCATGCGTGGTGCGCCACCTGGCGGGTCAGTCGGACTTGGAGAAAAGGAAGAGACAGGGATGTCTGAGATTGTCTGAGTCTGGATCATCCACTCAGATGCAAAACCATGGAAAAGCATCTTCAGATGAGAAAGATGAGACAAGTAGTTGGGACCCATTCAGGGAGACCAACTGAGGGGGAGAGAATCTTGGAGTCAAGCAGGGACCTGTCTTCTGGCACTGACCCTGAGAACTAGTCGCACAAGGAGATCATTGCGACTGACAGACCTGTAAAACCTCGTCATATGGCTGGGTTCATTGAACAAGAGTTTGCGTGAACGGTTGACCCCTGAAATCAAGCACTTCAGCGGGTTTGGTCTGGATTGGCATGCCAGTGTCATTTCGTCATGTTACCGGGGGCACTGCAACAGTCCGTTGGGGAGCGAACTGGCGAAGAGAACTGGTCATCGATTTTACCATTTCTGTTTGCTATTTGATTGCCGACCTTACTTCAGTTCCGTGTTGGATGCTGTCCCTTCCGGTGTAGAACCACCCTACAACCTGGAGATCAATCAAGGCAGGACTTCAAGATGTCAACGCTTGTGATTTGATTGCTTCATTGCAGTGCCCTTCCAGACAACAAGGAAACTGTATACATCAGCTCAAAGAAACTGTACACATCACCAACCACCCTGTCACCCTTATGGTGTTTGAGAAACTATGTGTTCCACAACTGTGTTCTTGTCCATTCTTTTCCTATATAGTATGCTTGATTGTTGTTTGTTGCTTTTAAAGCACATTATACACAGTACGAGCGTGATCCACTGGAAAGGTCATGTTATTGAACAAATGAACCAGAAACATGTTTCTTCCACGGCACATGCTGATGAGACAGACTTATCCCATGCTATCTCGAACGAGCCATTCAAAAATGACCGTGTTTGGGGTTGGCTTGGCTTGGCTGATTTCATCTCACAGTTTGGGTGGCTTTCAGTGAAAAGCAGATAGGGGCCATATCTATTGACCATGGCTGGGTGTTGGCGAGGAAAAGCCGTAAAAAGCAGATACTGTCGGGGCCTAAGCAGGGCCTTGACCAGGCGCTGCTGGGAGCTGGAAGCTGGAAACGACCCGATTCGGGTCCTCCCGAGCGACACACCACCTGAGGCATTGGATGCCGGTGTCCAGCCAGGCGAAGCACTTGGTCGCAAAGTGTTTGCAGAAAGATCCTCGGTGATGCCGCCAGTGATGCGTGGAGCAGCGTGTTGTGTTTCATCATGCCTTGATCATCCCCATCTCGGGTGCATGACGCAACATGCACATTTGCAGTTCGGTTTTCCAGGTTCGATCGAGAATTGGTTGATATGTTGATATCTTGTTTGGTTCTTGTTTGCATGGTCCATGATCGCCAGGACGCCGCTTGCCATTTCAACATCGTTCCACGTGTGACCAAGGGGGGCCCTCCGCCTGTGTGGCCCCTCTGCCTAAAGGGCGAATGAACTCTCGAAGACTCATGTCTCCTGTTGCCCCCGTAGACCGGACCAGAGGGTCGTCTCAGCAGCAGGTGAGAACAGACCGGACCCTGGTGGTCAACTACCCTGGTGGGTGACAGGGGACCCTAAACAGAAGGTCGACTACCCTGGCAAGTCCACCTACCCTGGTGGTGAAAGGGGCTCCGGATGGTGAAAGGGTGCCGTGACCTAGCGGTAAGAAAGAATGGGTCGACCAATTTGAAGATCCAGAACTGGTCGACCTGGTCGACGCTCATGGTTGAAATCGAATCGATTTAGTCAATCGCGGGTCAAGTCATGTTTCTTTCTGTGACAGATGGTCACATTCTTCTGGATCCTGGTTAATACATGGTAATACCGTCCAAATATGATAATGAATGTGTGCATGTCATGCAGAGATGTCCAAAGGTTCATTTGTTCTCAGTCAACCAATCACTGGCCACTTGACCACTCACCGTCACTGAGGACGTTCAGCAGCGGATTTCCGCTGTGGGCGCGCTGAATCACGAGTGGTTTGCCTGTCGCTTCGGGGAGAAGGGCGTTGAGCCTTGGTTTCAATGCAGTTGGATGGCAGGCACCATTCAAACAGCTTGAAGTGTCCAAGAGTTCTGGTTTTAGCCGGATGCACAGTCGAACACCTCAATTTCTTGATGCTTTGCAAAGCATTTGCATGGCGCCACGATTATATATTTGAACATGTTGTGTCACAGAGAAAAAAGCAACTGGGAAAACGAGACCACCCTGGCGAAGGGATCCGTTTTTTCGGCGAAGGGACCTGGTTTTGACTGGTGTTACGTGTCCACTTCAGATTTCAGGAACCTTCAGCATCTTTCACCTGTTTTTTTTAATGCTTTCATGGTCTGGTGTTACCATACATGTATAAAGACCATTGAAGACCAACATAAATACCAATCCTCTATATACCCAGACACTCCGTGTATGCCATATATAGCCTACATTGACCCCCAAAACCACCCCAATGTAGGCATATTTGGCATACATGGAGTGTCTGGGATATACCAAACAACAGGTCTGTTTTACTTTGCGGATCTTTCGACGAACAACAGCCAGGTCGCTCCAAACCGGCTTCGACACCGAAATCCGCCGAAAAACCGGCCAATCCGACAGACCCCGCTCTCGCCGCTCTCGAGGAGACACCCCGTGACTTGCATCGAGACTTGCTGAGCAACCTGAAGTCCTTCTGCGTCGCTGGGAAAGCCAATGCACGTCACGTCACGTCCTTCCTCCGCCGACGAAGACGACTCCGCTCGAAAATTCCATGAAGTTCCTGCATCAGAAGTTCAGTTTCAACGCACCTTTTGAAGGCCGTCAGTCCGTTTCCTTCAAAGATTTTAAAAAGGAAGACTTGTTGACATATGATACAATCCTTGAGATGCAACTGTCCCAGACAATTAATCATCGCTTTTGACAGATTCTGTGCTTTCTTGCAAACACAGGAAGCAGATCCGCCCCTTGCGATCCCCGCTTCTTCCGGGCCCCGGTCGGTGGAAGACGGCGGTTGGGGTTTGTTCTTGGAAGACGGCTGTGGAAAAGTCAACATGAAGCACCCAAACTCTCCGTTTACTAATAAGGCTGCCTATAAACCCTGCGGCCAAGAATCAGACGTGCATGGGATCATGCTTATGTGGATGATATATGATTAGTATATGATTATATATCATAGATGATTATATCATATAGTGCTGTTATGTGCACAAGTCTGTTTCCCAACTAAGTAAAGCATGTGGTCCAAAGAACATCGCAGGTATTGCAAGTGGTCCAAAGGCAATTAAGGCAAATGCCGAGGTGTGTGGTCCACGCCGGGCCCCTTAAGCAGGCATCCACATGCCTTCGATGGTTACGAGTGGACCCTCAAGCGAGCGCTCAGGGGGGTGGCGGGGGCACCACATGACACATGGGACTGCCAGGCAAGGACTGCCGATCAAGTGACCCCTCTGGCACCACCCCTGGCCTGATTGGCATATATGGCAGTCCCAGACAAGTTGTGTCTGGGATAGGGTTGGATTCTACTTACCCCTACCAGGGCCCCCGCTGCCAGGGGTGGGGGCCATGGACATCCCGAAAAACATCTAAGGAGCCAAATTGGACACCCCCTGGCCCGGAGGCCCCTGGTAGGGTTCCATCATGTGCCATCAGAGTCCGGGAACAAGGGATTTGGTTGGATGGAAAATGTGCGCCCGGCCCGACAACGACAGCGCCGAGTAAATCGAGTTGCGCAGAATCGTCGTGACAAGGTTGAGCAATTTCCAAAAACAGAAACATCCAGACAGGATCAGGACCCAGCAAGGAACCCCTTCATCTCTTTTTGGCGCTATTTATCCATACCCCAAACAGGGGGTCTACATGTTTTTCTTATATAAGGAGAAATTGTTGCTGAATCCGGTACATTACAGACTCCATGACCTTCTTGCCATAAGACGCTCGAAAATCGGTGCCCAATCCGCGTTCGGCGGGCATGGATCAAACAGAACTTCTGTGGGCGCTTCTAACAACAGGCGAAATCTCGTCCCTCAGCAATGAATGGACCGACGGTTTGAAGAAGCTTGACCTCGAACAGATCGATTGGAGCAGCCGGAATGACAACGGTCTTACCATTTTGGTCCAGTCTGTGATCATTTTGCTCCGAAACGAATCATGTGAAGAAGAGATGCTCGAGATCATTGAGAAGTTTATCCGCTCTGGAGCAAGCATCTCGCAGACCTGTACAGATGAGGCAGAATCAACTTTCAACTTTAGTCGTCCAGATGATGAGGAAGAAGGTGAAGAATGCGAGGTCAGTGTGGAGCCCGCCGGTCTCTCAGCCATTGCCTACGTTCAAGCTTGGGCACAAGAGTTGGGCAACGCTGAGGCGGCGTTTGATCAGAAGGTCCAACGACTGGGCAAAGTCCTGAACCGCTTTGCAGGAGGTGGGCTTAAGAAAGATCATGACGCAAGAGTGCCAGTTCATGATGCTATCATCGAGCTTTGGGAAAAGTATTTGGCTGCGAGCGCCACACATGACTTGACCATTGACACTGCTGACGGCCTTGTGACTGCTCATGCTCAGATGCTCAAAGGAGCTTCTGCCGTGGTTGCTGCGATGTTGGAGTCACCCATGCAGGAGGGACAATGTCAACGAATTCAGGTGGGGTGGGTCAACACCTGAAACAGCAACACCACGTGACCGTTTGTTCTTTTTAATAGTACACATGACCGTCCGGACGCCGGACGGCATCCCATGCCTCTCCTGCCCCGTCGTGGACCTCCCTCGGCCGTACACTGACCCGCCAGGTGAAGGACGTGCCAAAGGGTGCGGTCTCACTCGTTCTGGAGATGCCCGGACTGCGTGGGGCGAACTGGCGCTGGGTTAGGGTTTGGACCGCTTTTGGAAGACCACATGTCAGCTGCCCCTGTTGCTTTGCGTTGTGGAGATTGATTGTGGTGTAACATGGGGTTTCAAGAAGTTCAATGAAGATAGATGAGAGTGAGGGGGACGAAAGTGAGAGGGTGAGAGAGCAAATTTCCATGGAGAACCCTTGGATCTAAGGATTTTATACACCTGCTCCACGCAGAACGAGCCCGACTACAAGACCGCTTTGCAGGCGATGGATGTGGCACACCGCTGGCAGGTGGATGTGGTGGTCAGCGTCCTAGCTCGTTTGCTTCAAGGCGCGCAAGAAAGGGTGTGATGTTAGAGTCTAGAGCCAATGAGCTGTCATGGCCGTATAATGACGTGTATATTAAATTATATTAATATAGATCATTATAGATCCAAGCAGAAATCGTGGAAGCCTTGACTCTAGCATGTCCTGAAGAAAGAGTCTTGGAAACCATCAGGACAAGACAAAGAGTTTCATGGCTGGGGTATATATATAACTAATGTGGCCAGTTTGCTTTGATCTGTGCCGGTGGGAGTCGAGGGGAGCATTTCGTGCCAATGGATAAACCCCAAATTCTTGCGACACGCAACTCTTAATGTAGACTCTTGAGGATATATTTAAACTCCCCCCCGCAGATGGATGCACGCACTTGCGAACCGTCCGCGACGATCGCCCCCAACTGTCCCCTTCTCGGGTGTTCCGAGGGGTAATAGTGGGGCTGAACATGGTGTGACACGCCACGTGGCCATATGGAAAAGGTACTAAAAAGACACATCTGTACACAAACCTACGAAGTGCATGGGAATGGGCAACGAGAGGCACGCTGGTGGTCCACCGGTTCAAGGTAAAAGCAGCCGGGCGTAACCAAAGAGTTTACGACCTACGTATCCAATGTGGCAAAGGGAGATCGGCTCAAGGTTCGTGACCCGAATTTTGTCCTGTATGTGGACCAGCTTGTGGTGAAGTTAGTCAAGACCAGGACAATTGTGCACACGTGCCCAGACATCTGTGGCCAAACACACATGATGGCAAGACAAATTAGAGAGACAGAGGAAGGACCTTGGCTCTCAAGTGCATCTAATTATCGTTCGGATGCTGAATTTCATCGAAGTCCTTTTTTCGGGCCAAAGCGTTACGGATCTTAATCAGGAACGGGCCCCTTTGGGACTGTGCCAGTTCCGGTAAATTTGGCCACGCAGGTGGGTCCGAAGGAGCCGGCAGAGGCGGCATCAAGACTTCATTATGATATGGCGGGTTATGCGAAATTGTTTGCAACCATGATAAGACAAAATCATAGGTTGCCTTGACATTTGGCAAATTCGGGCGTCTGGAGAAACCTCCCTCGTGGTAGGGGGAGAATCCTAGCTTGGTCAAACTAGACGCCCCCTGTTTCTTATACTGTGGAATCAAATGCGATCTGGAAAATGTCTGAATATGTTTAATGATCCATCGGAAGTTATCCGCCAACACTCTAACAGAGCGCTGCTTCACGGGTAACAACGTAACTCTAGCGTCGTCAAATGGCAGGATCAGTGTGTCACGAGAATCTTGAAGGCGAACTGGGAGTACTGTGTTGGACCACAACATGAATGAGAAAGCCAACTCTGTCCAGGAAATACCTTGATCCCCAGGTGCAGGGGCTTCTTCCGGGTGCGGCCAATCAAGACTTCGACAAAATTTCCATATCAAGTATGTGAGGCTGGCGCCCCAGGGGCTACACCAAAAGACGACCCTATGGGGTTCTGGGGGATGCTCAAACAAGCGACCGACAACTTTCCAATTCCGGAGTCGATTAAGCTGGTGATGAAATGCAAGCAGTGCCGGACGTGAATCAAGGCCGACTGGCGCCCCCTGGTGGCTGTCGCCTGCTTGTTTTTGTTCAAGTTTGAGCATACGTGCAAGTGATAAATCTATGAGGTAGTCATGCACCTTGTTTAAAATTGCCGTTTCTTTCGTGTAATGTGTACGAATTGTGTTGCAAAGTGTGGAAAAGTCAGGGTCATCTGTACATCTGACCTTACCTGCTACTTCATCTGCGTATGAGTTGCCCTGGATGTGCCACATATCTGCCTGGGTTTGGGCCTGTTCAAGAGATTGATGGGACTTGATTTTTCTGATCTGAAACTTTGCACTATGCCAAATTTGAGATAATCTTTCGATCAAATCCCAATGTGCATGCTTGTGTGGGTGGCGGTGGATACTATCGCAGTTGATGGCATGTACAATGTCAAAGACAAATTGAGAGTCTGTTACAAAAACGAAGTGGTTGTGGTTGTCCGACATCCGAGCCAGAATGTTTTCTGCTGCTACCACCAGGGCGTACAGTTCTGACCTATTGATTGTCTGGTGACCAGGGCAGTGACCACTGGCAAGAACCCGGAAAAAACGATGCTCCGGGTCGGCAGGGCACGCGTGACTAAAAATAACCGACCATGCCGCCCGTGCCGTATATGGGTCCCGAGTGTTGTCACAAGACCCGTCGGTATAAATGGTGGCATCCTGAGAAATGGGTCCAGGGTCAGTGTATGACCCGGTGGTATGCCTCAACCACATTGCTTGACGAGCCAGAGCAACCTCTGGGTGGTGACATGGAAGGGGAAACCAACAGAGTCGACGCTGGTCCCTCATGTATGACACAGCTTCATGATGCTGGGTTCGAAGATCGCTGAAAGCCTCACATTCCAGAAGCTGATGGCAGTGTGTGTCATATTGAGAGCACCAAGGGCACTGGGGCTCCTGGGTAGCCGACCAATTGGCTATGCCCCCCAACGATTGCCACCCGGACGTGAGGCTCAAAGAGAGAATTCTACGTTGTCGGTCGGTGTATGTCTTGAGGATGCGGATGGTATGCAGTGAGTCGAAGGGTTCCGGAGGGACCCCTTTTCTGTGAAGAATTTCCTGGTGGCATTGCCAATCCCAGGCTATGCGAAGTTGTGAGCGAATCTGTTTATTAGACGAACCCGGAAGGTGCAGGCGCAAACCACCTGGGCCCAAGAGGGTTGCATTTGCAGTGAGTTCCCATTTGAGTTGACGGAGGTAGGCAGCGAGGGCACTTGCTGGCCCTTTAACCTTTCCTTCGTATGCTCGGACAGAGGTTAAACACTGATTAGCCAGGACAGGATAGTAAATAAACATTCGGCGGAGAGTTGTCAACATATCAGTGATAAGGTAAAGGAGGGGGTCCTGAACTCGGTCTGTGAGATAGTGCAAGGCCACATGGCTGGAGGCATGCTTGTGTTCCCCCACGAGGACATTGGCCGCAGCACGGCGTAGTGTAGCAAAATGCTTGGCTCCAATGTAGGTACCGAGTGCCCCATAGAATACTGCCGGCCACACCGCTACCTGAATTTTTTCTCCCCTTTCATCAAGTGCGAGGTTAAGCTTTCTTAATCTGTTGCATTTAGCGACTGCGTTGTCCATCTTGTCCCGGAGAGGGCCAAGTACGACTGCGTTGGTATAAGAAATAGTGCAACCCAAATCGTGCACGTGGCTCTTAAGTTGAAAGACAAAACCGGGCCTCAGGAGAAGGGCGGAGGAGTCGTGCCAAAATTGCTTGAACTGCTTAGTGGTAGCCCAGCACCAAGATTTAGAAAAGTCGATTTGCATTTTTAAATCGTGGATAAGGTTAAGGATCGAGGTCATGGCATGAAAACAAGCTCTTTCTGACGTAGACATGAAGCTCCAATTATCGGCATATGCGAACTTTTCTACACGAGCCCAAGGCGTCTTCATTTCAGCATGAGTCATGGGAATGCCTTCGAATATTCCACATTCATGATTCACTCTCATCAGCATTGTTGAAAATATTGGGGCGCATACAAGCAAAGTCCTTGGTATTGAGTTCTGCTTTTTGATGGACAATGGTTCGTACAAACTCCACTTGGTTTGCTTTACCCCCGCAGATGGATTGTAAAACCTTTTCACACATAGTCGGCTTTATCATCAAGAGTACTGAAAGGACTATTGAAAAGCATGCACGCTGGATAACGACTGACGTGCTGGTTGAAACGCAGGGATGATCACAGATGAGAGCTTTTCGGAGATTGCCGAGCAAGCCGTTTTGAAGGCGGGGGCATTTGGAGAAGAAGATCCTTCCGCACCCAGCGTTGCTCAGATTTTTTTGGCAGCTAGAACAGGGATGTTATGCAGAGTGTTCATGTTAACAACTTCAATGCATAGAACCTGAGTCACATTGAGTCACCTCTATTTTGTACCATCAAAACATATCAACACCAGCAAAAGTATTTGTTTTACATTTTTTTTCTATCAAAACCAAGGGGGGTGACCCAATATTCATCCATGTGATCCACGCGTGACCTGAACACGACTCCAGTGCCGCACTGGACCTTGACTCCAGAAGCAGCTGGATCCAGGTTCGGTACGACTGGATCCCATGGGAAAGAGAAGTGCTCATTCGGATCTTAGATTCAAGGGGACCGTGTGGACTAAGAGAAGATGTGGTCCACCGTTTTTTTCTCGACATCTTTACTAGTTGGGATTGTTGACATTTGTTGAAAGCACCAAGCTGTGAAACTGTTGGAACACGAACATATCTCGTCAGGATGGTTGTTTTGCCTACCACCCAGACACTCCATGTATTCGTCCGATGGAAAGGGTGAGGGCCCGCAGCTATAGATGCCTATGCCTCGGGTCGGGTGTAGTACCTACCCCAACTGATCGGCCAAGGGTCTGGGACTGCGACCCGGGAGTTTGGCTTCCTAGCGCAGCTATCCATTGGGTGCCCTGTCAGACCTAGGCCGGTAGGGTAGGGTTGTCCAGCCAGGTGACCGAGCTCGACTCAGTTCGAGCCTGTGTCGGTTCGTCCCTGCCACGCCGCCAGAACTTGGACGACCTGAAGACAGCCATCCAGAGTTTTGGGGCGGCATCTGATGCTGTGAAGGAGAGCGGAACTTGAACCAACAACACCACGTGAACCACCCGAGAGGAGGTGTGAGGAGGAGGCCCCGGAGGGTCCCAGTTTCAGCTGCCTTGGGGACTGTTGATGTTCCACCGACTCAACCAATCCACCGGAGGACCGCCGGACCACCGGAGGACCTACGTCGCATCCGAAGGACCTGCGAATTCCCTGCGAACTCCGCCGTGATACAGCGGTGGACCACACCCTAAGAAGTCCGAACCCAAAGCAACCCCTATGCGTTGGTTCGGGCCCGGATTCTTGGGGTTTAATAAGACATGTAAAACAACGAAGAACACGCATGGAGAGGCTATAGGATGCTATAGGTATATAATGGTATATATATATATAGGTATATTGAGTGCCCACGAAGTTCTTGTTCGCTCCGCGGGTTCGATGGGCAGGATCAATTGAAAGATGGACAGCTCCCAGCTGCCGTCCAGAAGCTCTTCGCCGGCGGCACGGAGACGCTGGCACCTCCAGCCTTTCCACGGAAACGCCGGCGGTTCTGATGCGCGAGCGAGGCGGACTCCAGGAGCGGGGAGCGAGCGGTTCGTGCCACGGAGGGGTGGGTTCAGAGATCTTCAGAATAGCTTTGAGACAAGCTGTTTTTGTTCTTGTGTTTTTCATGTTGCTGTTCGGGTTCAGCATGATTTTTGTGTGATGTTTGTGATTGTTAATATATGTTTGTTTTCCATTGTCTTCCCTATAATGGGTCAGTTCCCTTTCATGCAACTACCTAGAACCATCTATATACTGTAGAACCCATTTGACCATAGTGTTTATACAAAAAGGCCATTATGTTTGGGGTGGTGGATGGTCTAACATGGAGGTTGGAAACCCCAAACAAAACCCAGTCCTTGGCTCTTTTTTGCGTCCGGAGACTTTCGGACGGGTAACTCACTGGCCACCATGGGCCACAGAAAAGGCCTGGATTTTCCCTAGTCTTCATTTTCTGGGTGGTGGTTTTGGATATGTCATATTTCAACCTTATACTTGGGGTGGTTGAACCCACCAACCAGTCGCTGGCGAGTCCAGAGAAAAAGACAGATACGACTGGTTATTTGGGCTAGAGGTGGTTGATTTCAGGATCGAGTCAATGGGTCAAGTGGCATAGATTCCATACATGGACCCATGAACTGTTTGGGCGATCAAGGACTTAACTTTTGGCAGCCGATCTCGGCTTTTCTCCCTTCTTTGTCAAGTAGTTTGTTTGTTCTGCCACATAGGCAGCTCTTCGGAGAGCATGAAGCGCAAAACACCACCAATGAGCAAACCCAAACGATGTACTCTTTGCGACAGGAGTTGCAGTACAGACCGACGAGTGAAGTACCGTCGCGGCGAAGTGAGCGAAGTCGTACGGAGTTGAAAGATCGAGCGCATTCGCGGCAGATGAACCGTGCAGCATTACATAGGTTTGTACCAGCACCACGGATAGCGGTTGATTATTGAAGTGACAAATACTGTAGCTAGCGAGGGGTGTCTATAAACCCACCCGAACTCGGTGCTGGTATAGATGGTTCAATGGTTGGATCTTCTTGGATCATGTTCCGGCTGGTTTGACTTCCATCGCTCGGATCCGAACCAAAACACCCATCGGGCACGGTTTGACCCATCGGATGAATCGAAAAGGGGACCTTTCCCCACCGCCTTTCTCCCTCCATCGGCATCGGCGTCCTCGTTCCCAAACCGAGAAGATCCCCAGACTTTACATGACTTTACCAACAAAACATAGTTACTATGGACCAGTACCAGGACCCTCCAAGGGGTGCCCAATGGAAGCCTATAGGTAGTGTGGGTCCATTAAACACCCCTTGGAGGGTCCAGGTATATATATATATATCCTTAATAGAAATTTGGCCCATAGTACACACCCGTTGGTCGTGTGAGCTTTGCGGTTTTTGGGTCGCCTTTCACTCGTTTGCTTCTTTCCGCGACGGCGGTATGATATAGGCTTCATCGAGCAGGCAACGTAGTCTATAAATATATATATATATATATGGAGCTAAGAAAGCAGTCCAAAGAGCTGTGGGAAAATGTGAGTCTATTGCCGAAACATCCATGGAAGTACGAGGGGATTTGCTCAGCTTTCATGAATTGTGCTATATATATACATGTTTCTTCTCTTTATTTGGATGTGCTATAATTCTGTGATGTTGACAGGAAGTTGTCAATGTATCCAGAGATACAAGTCGAAGCTGGCACCCAAAGGGGGGCCTCCGCTGGGGTGGCGCATGGATCAGACTCAGACAGAGCTTCTGTGGGCACTGCTGACTGCCGGGGAAAGTAGTACAGGGAGAGATTGGCTCGATGGTTTGAAGAAGCTCGATCTGGAGCAGATCACGTGGGGTAGCCGGAATGACGAGGGACACACCATCCTCGTCCAGTGGGCTTTTGCACGTTTTGCACTGAGTCAACTGGTACGGAATTCATGTTCACCGTTTGAAAACAACCATTGCAGGTCGAAATCACCGATCACCATCGACGTCACCAAGGTCCAAAACCGCTTCAAGAAAGCCGCCATGACCGCCGCCGCATACCACCTCACCGAGGTGCCTGACCTGGTAGAAAGTAGAAAACGATGACCCGAATCGGGGGGATCCATAGGAAGAAGACATGTTTGTGGTTTTGAGTGGCGGTGTTGGATCATGCTAGATCTGGAAGTCGGACTATGATTATAGTATATTATAGTCTATAGTCATGTTTTTGGGGTGAGTTTGAGTGCGTATTGAAATAGGAAAAAAACGACCAACGGGGGGCTGTTGAAGCTCTCGATCTTGCTCATACGCATTTATATATGCTTAGTAATGCATCTTTTGCGTCGGGTATACACACCATCAAGATCTCTCCAATAGCCATTACAAAGCCAAGAACAAACCAGTCACATAGTTTGATATGTATTGATATGTTGCATGTGTGTGGTTAACTTGTGCAGCCACCAACTGGACAATTTGGACAATTGCTTCGTTTTGGTTCGATCAATAACGAACCAACACCTGGCCGCCACGCCCAACATGGGATATCCCATGTTTCACCACGGAGTTTGTTTGAATATCTGGACAAATCGCAGTTAATACCAACTCTTTGCGCCAGCATCTCTGAAGACATACCAGAGTCGGCCGTCCCATCCCTGATGTTTCTCAGACCTTTTCAGAGGCCTAAAACGCGGCCTTTAGACTATACAGATGACCCCTGCCCTGCAGATGGCTTTTATGACCCCTGCAGACCCAGTGGCGCAACCTTCGTGCCCAGTGACCGGCACAGGAGGAGCAGAAGGAGCTCCGCCGAACCTTTGAGAAATTGGACACCGTGCCCCGGCGAGAGAGGGAGCAAGAGAGCGGGCCAACGCGTGCGCGCGCCAACGAACCGTTTTTGCGTGTGGGAGGCCTCGCACGTCAACAGAGCCCTTGACACAAGGGGCGGAGGTGTTGTTGGCTGGGGCTCGTTGACTACCACCTTCTTGGACATCTCAAGGCTACCGACAGGACCAGCGCCACACGCCCAGCCCAGGACGGCGATGGATTTATGACCTTGCAGGACCTTCACCGTGGCCTCAGCGATCTACCACAGATGCGGGGCTTGTGCCGCGGTGAAGTTGGAAGTTGTGGGAGGTGTAGACCCTCAACTACTATGTCCTGTTACTTGTAACAGATCACTATTTTTGAGAAAGGCTTTTACCCACCAACATCATCCACTAGCTGTTACTAGTATATAACTAGTAATGGGATAGATACCCAAACTAGGGTCTAGAATGGGTGACGCTGGATGACCCGAGGGGGAATCGATGGCGGATTTCTGCGGATCGGGTCCATTTGGACGGCCTGACGGCCACCTTTCGAACCCAGACACGACCTTTGTTTTGATAGGATGCTTGGCCAGTTGCTTAGGGTGGTTCATGCTCTTTTATACAGAGATCAATTGAGGTTCTAGGCATACGCCGCAGTGAACTGACTGTTTGACCCAGTTCACCAAGAGAGGTCTTTGCCAGCTAGGCCGAAAAATAGAGTGCATGACAGTGTTTTGGTCTTGAGGAGGGTCATCTGCCTGGAACCACCCAAAAATGACAGTTGGACATATATGAACGACCTATGAAGGTCTTCATGGCAGCGTTCCAGGCTCGTGCTCGCACCGGGTGCGAGCCTGGAACGTGCCTTTCATGTTGCTGGACCTTCGCGAATGGCCAGCAGATGCGTGGCCTGCACGATCCCAGAATCCGTCATTTGATGCAATGTAGATCTCAGAATCTGTTATAAAGCAAGTGTCAGTGATTTACCCAGTGATAGACTGATTCGCAGGCCAGAAGTAGCCAGCTCCCTGTCCTACAGACCATCCGCCCACCTGAGTTGACCTGCATACTCCATGGAAATTCCAACCACGCCGCATGATATCATTGTTTTAAGTCGGATTTTGGATATTTAGACTATAAAACAAACATCCAAAACCAGCTCCAGCCTTTCTTTTCGTCCCTTTTTCGGGTTCCGCGGGTTCGCGGCTTGCCGGTCCTTGTCTTGAAAGCGGCCCACTTCGCCCCACCCAAGAAACCTGGCGCAGCTCATGGACGATCTGGACCGGAACCAGGCAAGCTCGAGCTGCGGCGATCCGGTGCGGGTGGATGAAGCTCCCCCAAACGCACGCCCGATGCATAGATCTGGTATAAAGCAAGTCTAGCCTGCCGGTGACCCTGCCGGTGGTGAAGATAGGTCATGATAGGTCTATTTCCTGACAGGGATCCTTTGCGTCGGCGGTTCATGGCCTCGAGTCCTGAGTGGCACCAGGCAGGAGAGTGGAGACTTCGACACCGAGACGCCGGGTGCCACGGGTCGAAGTGGGTCAAAAGAGGTTGGCAGAACCCTACCAGGACCCCCAGGACGGGGTGGTTCACGGACACTCCTTAAGAGAGAGGGCTATAAATAGACACCCCGGCCCTAGGGTCCTGGTATAGACTATCTCATTGCCAGGCTCCTCCCTTAGGTCACTTCACTTCTCTTGGAAATAGGTCGATGTGGGTGGGTGGGGGTGCCACTCAGAGCTTCAACCGAGTGGTTGAAATTCGCTTTCAGAGGTCGCTTTCGGCCTATGTGGCCCGGGCCGGTGTCAGCATCTCCCAACCAATCCACTTGGGGTTCCAGCCCTACATCTTCAGTGACTGGAGGTTCCAGATCCATCCATCCATCCAAATCCCCTTCCACCAAACACCAAAAACGAGAAAATCAGATGACTGGAGGTCCCACTCCACACGACCCGTTTGGGACACCCGGACGGGAGCGAAGGGACCCTTGTCCCAAGTGCAGGTGTTGGTGTTTGAATGACTGGGTTGGGTGAATTGGCTGAGTTGGGTCAAGGAGACCACTTTTCATTCCGCGATGAGGCGGAGGGCAGCTCTCAGGGATTGAGAGCGAAGTTGACTGACGGACGGCATCAACCCCGGACATGTGAACCAAAAGGCCAGGTTAGTTCCAAGCAACGTGGGATGGTCAAGGTGGCCTTGGATGTGTTTGTGTGTTTGAGAAGGAACGCCAAAACACGCCAGGTCTGATGCCCCCTTGTCCAGAAGCGTATCCTCTTGATGAGTACTAGATGTTCAGAAGCTCCTGGAACAAGAACTGAAGAACATTGTGCGCAATTAAAAACGCATCAACGGGATGTTTCGTGTTTGCCAAACCCAGACACTCCATGGGACTGCCATATGTGCCAATCAGTTGGGGTGGTTGACTGGGGGTCAATTGATCGGCATATATGGCAGTCCCATGTGTCGTGTCAGCTCGCCAGGACGGGCGCTTGGAGTACACCGAGTTCATTGCGGCAGCCATGGATCAACGCCTTCACCAGAACGAAGCATTGTGCTGGCGCGCTTTCAAGGCTTTTGACCGTGACTTGTTTGGATTATTTTGTGTTTTTTGCTTGATGTCTTAAGATGATGTTAGGGTAGTTTTTGTGTTCTTTCGTGAAAAACAAGAACCACCATGTGCCAGCAGAGTGGGACCGGTTGAGTGGCTATACAGTTTGCCATGGACATGTCACACATATTGTTGATCAACACCCTGGAATCGAATTAGCCAACATTTGCCAACTGGCTACCGGCCTATATTTTAGGCTATGCCATGGCATCACCCAAGTGGAGGTTTTTCTTCCAGTCGAAGACACTCGAGCTCTGGGCTCATCATTTAGAGTGTTTGGGAAGTTTCAGCTTTCCGACTTTTCAGCCTCCATGCCTTCTGGTCCCAAGACCATCCAAGACCTGTAAACAGAATCTAGCTTCACGGATGAACATGCCTGCTGCCTGCTAATAGATGTTTGTTTCATCCTCTCAGAGCAAACCAAATGATACCAAATGAGTGCACAACCCGCACAACCTTGATATTTCAAGCCCGAGAAAAACAAATCCTCAAAGAATCCAGTTGTCCAAGTTTTCCCTTGGTGCCTGGCACAGTGCCTGACACTTCCTGTAATCATGGGCCAACGTGGAAGGTAGGGCCCCTCAAAAGAACCATGAAATCCGAATACCGAATACCAACCAGCTGGGGCCATCATGTGTTCTTCTTCTGACTCGGAAAGTGTCGACACACAGTGTTTGTGCAAGATTTTCGTGGGATTTGCTTTTGCTACACAGGAGCAAGGACGCTACTCCTTGTAGGGGCTCCTGGCATCGCTACGAACGGAGCAAGGACGCTTCGAACGGGGCTCCTGGCCGTACTACCAGGAAGGAGCATTCTTACTATAGTATACTATACGTCTGTAGTAATGCATATTATATATTATTGACGACTTATATGAACACCAGGTGAAACATGGCCCGATGGCCCCATGGGCCCGATCAACGAACAGGTCATGTGCAACATCAAACCAAGACTGACGGTGACTGACATGCATCCCAAGAAGCGTTTGGGCCCCCTTGAAGTGGTGTTCTAATGTGTTCATTCCATTCCTTTGCTATCCTTTGCTTTTCCTTCGTTCCTTTTCTTTCCGTAAAAGGCTATCATCTCCCGTGGTCGGTTCCTCATACATTCGAAGGGCTCCGTCCATCTGTCCGGTCCTAATCGACGGTTTCCCGACCCACCGAAACGACGGTTTCCCGCACGGCACATGAGTGGAGGAGTAACGTTCGCCCATCGCGCATCCTTCGAACCGAACCTTCCTCGCATCCTTTCGATGGGGAGCTTCGGCGGAAGCTCCGGTCTGACCTCAGGTGATGATGACGATCGGATCACGTATCCCGATCTTCTGCACGTCCTGCAGGTCGAGTTTGGGGAAAAGGATGCGCAGACACAAAATATGGGACTTCCATGCCTACATGAGTGCCATACATTGCCCCCCCAAAACCACCCCTGGCCTGATCGGCAGTCCTATGGCCGTCTCATGGAGTGGGATGGGGTTGGGACCCACGAGTGACGGTTCGGTCGAGTACCGGTGCAGTGCAGCAGCGTTTACTAAATGTGCTTCCAAGAAAAGCGTTTGGGCTCGCAACCTTGAGGCATTCGAGTGTGAAGTGTGTTTCTTTGGATATTGGATTGGAATTGACGGAAAAGAGATGAAAAGAGAAGAAGTACCCGGGATTCCTGCTTGTTTTCTGTCCGGAGGCCCCGAGGGACAACGGAGCATGGAAACATGTCCTAGCCTGGAAGCGGTGGCCCCTGGCTGCCCCTGAAAGTTTGAGATTGGTGTCATCCTCAAGGGATCTGGGCAAATGTGGAGTGTTGGCAAGTTGTGCCACGTCCGCCGTCAGGTGGTGCTCCTCAGGTCCTCTTTCGGTTCTGAAAAACCAGACTTCCTGTGTGCAAAGACCTTCCTGGAGGTGCAGTGGCTTGTTTTTAACCACCTCTTCCACTCAGGAACAGACATCTGCCGGCTTGAAGCCGTTTGACCTATAGTCAAAGTGCTTAGCACACTCGCATCCAAGCCAGGCAACGCGTCCGGTTCGTGTTCGTGTCCTCGCATCCTCGCGTTTATCAGTGCTCTGACCGGTCAGGATCCAGATCTACAGATGGAGGTGCCGAACTGCCGCAGCGCCTAGGCGGACATTTGGATAGTGTACCATGGTTGGCATAGACATGAAGACTCAGACTCCGAGTCTGAATCACACACACACACACACCAGTTGGGATTGACATGTTCATGTCTTCATCTGGGGGGTTGACATATTATCGAAAGTCTACATGAGGCAGATCCAGGGTGCCGATGAATGATATCAGCCACAAAGAGTTGGTGCTGGCGCCAAGGGCTGTGAAGGTCCCAATAGCCACTGAGTTGACTGTCAACAGGTTTGGGTGGGACGGCGTGCTCCATGTCCATCTTCAAACGATAGTTTCTCCAAATCCTGACCCAAGTTGCATACCTTGACTGTTTTCAAGAAGGTCTTTAAAGGCATGCACACAAACCGCATCAACAATGCATACCCTGTTCCCCAATGGCCACTGGTTGGAAGGTCGAGCAAAACCTCTCAGAGGTCAGGATCCGGTTTACAGATCTTTCAGATCCTACCGGTCTCACTGTGCTTGCACGGAAGTGTTCACTTTCAACGTTGTTGTTGAGTCCTTCAACCTGCCACCTTTTCCAACCTGCCACCTTCTTTCCAAACGTACTTGGACCCTCCGGTCAAGGAAGTCAGCAACAGCCCAGTCATTTGAGACGTGAAGAAACAAACGTCGATTCATCAGTAGACCATGCCAAGGTGCTTGGCAATACTTTGCCCGCCACTGGGTTTGATCGAGTCACCGTGGAACCAGGGAAGCAGGTTTGTTCGGACCCACCTGGTGATTTCTGGGCAGACCTGCCTATACCAGGCCGCTCCAAGGGGTGTCCAATGGACTTCCCCACACTACCTATAGGCTTCCAGACAGGGCACCCCTTGGAGGGTCCAGGTACTCAGTTCACTCACATGTGAGGAAGGCACTTCTTCAGTTCGTGGGATTCGCAAAAAAACACTCCACATCCTCGGAGGCTGACCGTATTTGTTTCCCCGTACCTGAGGATCTGGTTGGAGGTGCAGTGACATATCGCTGCCAAGTTAAAGCTCAAATTGGGCCTTCGCATGACCTTGACAACCAATTGTGGTGATGTAATGATATAGGACCCGTCACTGCGAGGGTGGAAGCTCGCCATTGCATGGAGAGCGTGGAGATCGCACAACACCAAAGGGCAGGTGTGCAAATATTCTGCCAAAGAATCGTAAAAGGCTCGCCTTAACCCAACAAACCGATGAACCCCTTGTTGAGAAGGTCTTTCACCTCGTGAAGCCACCCGCCGTGGCAACCAACCCTTGGAGTCCGACCCAGTCGTGTTTATTAGATGATGTGGTTCACTTGTTCATCCTTAAGTCGTGCTTTTTAGATGTTATTTCTTTAAGTATATGTGTTTTCCACGTCCATGCGGCGGCTACTGGGCTGCTCTCCGACGGCTAGACCTCTTTCAAGTCGAAGAATTCCACCGTCCAGTCTTTGAGGTCAGCCAGACCGGATCGTCGATGGATCTCCTGAGGTATGGACGAGGATGGCGACGGCCTGGTGAGCTTCGAGGACTTCATGCGGATGCTCTCCACACAGAACACGCCGGTGTCCGCCTCGCTCTACACCAAGGCCGCGTTGCAGCCAGTAGGTGCAGTAGGTGCAGCAGGTGGATTTGGGGAGGCAATACTTGTAGTAGTAGGTGGTGTGTGTTTGCAGGAAGTGGCAGAGAAATGTGAAAGGAATGACAATGACACAAGACACACAAAGACAAGATAAGACAAGGGATTTCTGTTGATTCGTTAGAGACAGAGATATATAAAACCAACGAAGTGATGGTAGCATTCATCATCGCTGGAAAATAAACTTGTTCTTCAAGGGCAGTGAGCAGGTTTCAGGAGGGGCAGCCTGCCAAGCACGTGAGCAACACCCCAGCAAAATACTGACAATGGCACCCTGTGTAGCCCTGTGAAAGACTATGAAAGACTGCTTTCCTCTACAAAGCAGTGGGTTTAAAGGTCCATGTTGGTCTTCAGTCTTCAGGGTATCTTTTGGAAAGCTGATGCATCAATGTTTTGGGAGATGTTGAAGCATAAATACCAACAACTACGCCCGAAGTCGATGACTAATGGGGTTCTTCGAACATCATCACCGAATCCTTGCGGGAGAAATGGCCCCAGGTCTGTCGCTGTTTGACAGTGCACTCGCTCAGCAAACAAAGGCGACCTTGTTTTACAGCTATATACCTACCCAGTCCATGGATAAGCATGGACTTTACAGTGGTTTCAGAATAGATGGTTATTTGATTGGAGGGTCCATATAAAGCACCGAACTTGTTCAGATAAACCTGCCATCTACTCTGAAACATCTGAAAAACCACGGTATTTTTTGTTTTTTGGGAGGAAGATACCCATTTTGCAAACGTTTTTCCACTGAAGGTCCAACAGGTGCAAAAAGCGTAGTTTCTCTCTTTGTTTCCGGCGAGTCTAAACCATAAGTTCCAAGAGATTCCAGTGTGGGTGTGTATTAAAATAGGGAGACCTCCCAGGCAACGACCGCAAGACTTCGAAGGGAAATACATCTATAGTAGACCAAACCGATCAAAACACACACACACACCCATTTGGATGGCGACCGATCGATCATCGATCTTCGATCGACCCGGTCGGTGGTTTTTGCCGAACGGTTCATCGAATCAGAAGTCGTGGGTCGTGAGTCGTGGGTCGTCACAGCCGGTTCCCAGCTGATTTCCGTTTCACTTGGATGTCTTTTGGATTGTGGTCAGATTCCCTGGGGAGGTACAGGATGCTGCAGGGTGATGTCACCTTTCTTTCCCGCCCCCCAAACACCTGCACGGTGCTATCGCCTCTCTCACCTCATGGTCCAGTCCAAACGCAGGGCCCCCGCCCTAGAGCCTCTCCAACTTCTCCAGCTACCATCCCCCCGCCCAAAAAGAAAAGCACTTCGCCCATAGCCACAGCCTCCACCACTCTCCTTCCCTTCCCCAAAACGCCACCTCCCGGGCCACCTTTCAACAACCACCCCTGCCCACCCCAAAAACGCTCCACCGCCGACCCTGTCGCCCAGGCCACGTTCGGCGCTTTGTCGCCCACGCGGCACTCGGTGTCCACGATGTTGGAGGAGGACACCGTCTCCCACGAGGATTCGGCCGAAGAAGTGATCTCGACACCCGGAGGTGACAGAGAAGCGACGTGACCGTGTGGATGACCGGGTGACCCGAAGTGGCATGGGTACGACTGGGGGATAGACTGGATCTCCATATTTTCATACACACCCACAGATTCCAATGACCAGTCCCATATGGGACTGGCAGATGTAATTACCGATACTTTCACCGTTTTTCACCCCTTTTCAACCGCTCCAATGTTCCACACATGGAGTAGTACATGGAGTGTGTTGGAATGGGTTCAAGGGAAAAACATAACAGGCCGGAAACCATTATTAAATTATCACCCCGGAAATTCCGTTGGCCGTTCGTGGTGGTCTGAATTGTTTGGGATATTTATTTCTGGGTGGGTGATGAGTATAGTTATCACAAACTGTCAATACCACCGAACCTGAGGACATGGGCCAGAAGCCCCAAAAAAAGGGCCAGGTAGACTCCTTGAAATCAAACCGTTTGCTTCAGGTCCAGACCCCGGAGGCTTCGACCCCTCAGCCCGAGCTCGGATTCTTAAAAGAAAAGAACACACGCAGAAGACCCCAGAAGACCCCATAGTGACGGGGTGATGTTTGGACCCCATAGCCGTAGACCACCAAGACCAACTAGGCACCCGGTATTCCATTCGGGTCTCCTATACGCTATACGCTGGTATAAGCGTTCATTTATTTTTGGGATCGAGGAATCTAGAAGCGTTCGGAGATCTTGGGCCAGAAGCAGGGCTGGAGATCTTGGATGACCTAAAGTTCGGAAATGGTGCCTTCCCTCTTGGAAGGTGGTAGCCATCAGAGCACAGAAGGTTACCTTGGTTTTGCTTATTAGGATGATTTGTTGTTTTTCCAAATTGGCTTAATCCCCTTCTGGTGATGTATGTTTTCTCGGTTCAAGCAAATCCAAGTTACAGCTGTTTGGCCGCACCTGGATCAGGAATGGCAGCTGATCGGATCGCATGCAGGATCTGATGTTTTCATCGAGGTTTGCACGATCGCTGGTCTTGCGCGGGGCATCAAACGACACACGAATAGACATCCATCTGTGGAAGCCACAGAGAAATTTGTGCCACCAAATAGTCGTAAATGCTTATCGTCTATTATCACTCACAGCCCTTCAAGTCAGTATCACCTTTCTTGGAATGGATGCTCAGTAGGATGAGGATTTATGGATTTGTTGGCATCTCAAGGCCAAACTCTTGTAATGTTCAGCAGGGGGATCTAGGGGGCTGGGTATATGATCTGTGTAATGCTGCTATAGACCATTCATCCTCCACCATCCAAGAACGGGGCAGGACGACTCCCTCCTTAATAGAAGCTGGAGTTCAGTCGATAAAAACCATCGTGGATGGTTTTCTGACGTGGAAGACTTGTCCAGCACACATCCGCTCGTACCGTGGTCCGCGGTGATCCGTAAAGGTCGCAAAAATGTTTGTTTGAAGATGTTGATGGACCTTAAATTAAAGGGCGACTTCTTTCTGGTTCTTGGTGAAACATCCATTTCTGGTGTCGACCTTGGGTTTCTGGCTACTTTCCATCGACTTCCAAAAGGCTTACCACACGACCACCCGCGAGTGAAAGGCATGCATTTCATGAGGCTCATGCTGCTGACTGTAGTTGGCAACGAGAGCCATCATAGCAGAGTTCCTGAGGGTTACAGAAAACCGTGGGGTCCTCCATTTGGTCATCAACTCTGATGTCGTTGGGCTCTTCTCGCCCCCTCACTGTCCAAAAACCTCATCTCACCTCCCATCTCGGAGCGCTTTTTTGGCAGACTGCCCGGAGCGCAGAACGTCGGGCGATGCACCGTGCAGTCGAACGACTCAACGGCGCGTCACGAGTCGAGTCGCCGATCGGGTCAACTGGGGCACAGGGTCTGACCAGTCAGTGGAACGACCGAGAACGGACGGTGATACCCAGTCAGTGGATCAGCTGCAAAACCTTTCATTGGAATGGGAGACTCCCCACTTACCCTAGCCCTAGCGATCCAGTCGGACCTTCTCAGGTAAGGTACGACTGGACCCTCGCACCTACAGAACGGTGTCGAACACAGCACCATCTGAGAAGGTACTTGGATTTCTAGGGTTCCCAAGACCTTGTAGAGAAAGGTGAATCTTGATGTTCCGAAACTGAAGGAGTCAGTGGTCATCTCAGGGTCCCGTTCAATGTCGGACGGATTTTTTTTAGGTTGATATACTGTATTTTAGCATTCAAAATGCAGGATCGTTCTTCCAATTGAGTTTCAAGACAATTTCCTTCAATTTGCATTGCAATGAAAGTATTATGCGGTGAAATTTGTGAATGATATGGAATGGCTCTCGCTGAATGGAGGGCTCAAGACAATTTTGGGCCTGGCGAAGGTCTTCCACTGCATGCTAAGGCAACTTTGCTAGTAGGATTGGAATTTCCATATTGGCATTTCACATGTTGTTGTGCTTATCCCTACAAGTCCAGTCCGACCCAATAAAGCGTGGTCTTTTACCTGCTTGAGTAGTGTTTTTGTAGGACCAACTCCAGTAAAATGAGCTCCGTTCCTGACCTGCACCAGCACCCGACTCTACAGGTCTCCAAAATGGTCGCTGAAATAGAGACTTAAAAAGTGGCATGTGGTGACCTGTTTCCTCGTTGGGTGCTGGCAGGAACAACAGAGCAAGGTGCCGGTGTAGGTGGTGACCTCTACCGGTTTGTGAGTCAGGTGCTGGTCAGTCTCCTGTTGGAGGGTGCTGGTAGTGTCGCCCTGTTCATTCCCCTTTTCAGACTGGTTGTTCTGGTTGGTCTGAAAAGTTCTCTTTGTTTCCCTTCCCTAAGAATCCGGGCTCCTTCACCAGATAGGGTTTGGGGTGGGCCCCGTTTTCCCCCTGCCTGCGACGGTTTTGTCCTGTCCGACCCCCGAACGGTGTCGAGCTCGGATTCGTTAGGGTTTGATGCGGTGAAACCCCGAACGACAAAGCGAAGAAAGCATGTGGTCAGCCGTGAAAGATGGTCGGGATCTTTATCAAGATACTCTTGAGTCAGTATCTTATCACGAGCAGTGAACTTGTGAAGATACTTAAGTATCCTAGATTGGGATGGATGCTGAATATCCCAGCATGACGAATACAGATGAATTCTTCATAGTCTGGCAGGGAATTCTTCAGAAGCAACACATGTGTCAGAATGTCGCAAAAGCACCGGGAGAACCAGAACCGGCTAACCAGAACCGGCAGAACCATCTCTCAAGTCCGCAGACCAGTTTTCGATCTGCCTCCCATTGATCAGTTGATCACCTGCAGGTCACCTCTTTGGAGATTGGGGACATGCCATTCTTCAACCAGGGTGAGCACAGGTGTTTTGGACCCGAAGGCACATGACGAGATTGGACAGTTCGTTTAGGGCGCCACTCTAGAACGCTTCATTTTAGATGTGTGCGGGGTCATAGGCCTGGGTTGGGTGTCCTATCCCAGGCACGACTAATGGGACTGCCATATAGGCCGATCAGTTGGGGTGGTTTCAGGGTCAATGTAGACATATACTATATATACCATACCAGCACTCTCTAACAGGTGCTTCCTGGTGACAACAGGTGCCCAGAAACCACCTGTGGTCGGGTCTCCAAACAGCCTGGCCAGGAGGGTCCTGGTACATGGAGTGTTTGGTGGTGTCCTCTCCTCGCTGCTGCTTACGCGGCCCGATCGACGAGTCCGGAATCCAATGCCTCGGACGGCTGCGACACATGTCTCCTCCACGTTTCTCACGTGGAAGCAGAGGTCCACGGATCATTTCGAGATCTTCAAAGCATTTGCAGAGAAGCAGAAGCCACTTGCAGCTTGAAAATTTCATGGTGATACAAAGAGAAAGGCCTTTGGCCCTTCAAATAAGCGCCAGCCAGGGTTCCTGAGCGACTGAGCGACCAATTGGTTGTGGAGGCATGTGTATTTTGAGGTATGAACATGGTTCATCTTACTATACTAGCAAGGACGCTACTAGGGGCTCCTGGCTTTACTACTAGGAACAAGAAGCTATTGGCATCGCTACTAGGAGCAAGGACGCTACTAGTAGCAAAGGGTTGAAGAGCATGATTCATGAATGTTGATGGTTTGTGAGTCCCTCTCAGAGCTCCTCTCAGCACCATGCAGCACCCCTTTGAGCAGCACCCCTTTGAGCAAAAACTTTACATGGGATGACCAGCTTCTGAGTTGAGATAGGTGGCCTTCGATCCAAATTCCGGAGACCCACTGGTAGGTGGACCTCCTGCAGGATCCTGTAGGTCGTCTATTCCGTTCATGTTCCTTTCGAAAAAAAAAAAAAACAGGGTCCCAGTGCCACGACTCAGCCCTATATACACTCACTGGATGGGAGTCCCAAACCATCCCTATTTGTGCCCACTTGGAGCCTCGGACGGCAGTGCTGCTTCTGCTGGAAGGTGGAGGAGATAGCTTTCAAAGTCGAACATTGCTACTGGCCCCGGCTCGCACGAGATCGACCCCCCTCAGTCGCGCGCGTGTGTGGTTGCCGCGACAGGGGTGACACGTGACTGCTGCGACAGGTGTGACACCCAAGCTGTTGGAAACAACATCTCTACATATCTTTGCCCAGTTAGTGGATAACCTATAAATACTATACCTTCCAGGGCCTTCAAGGGGTGGTATAATGGACACCCCTATAGCCCGGCTTTACGGGCTAAACAAAAGACACCCCTTTACCGACAGGAGGGTCCTGGTTAGTTGAACCGTTTTTGTTCAGAAACTGAAGGAGTCTGAAATCTCTACCAAACCACATTCAACACTTCGGGGTGAAGAGGCTAACTCATCCCAGGTGTGACAGGAGAGAGAGAGAGAGAGAGACAGAGAGAGAGAGAGAGAGAGAATTGGCGTCTTCTGGTAAAACATCGCGCTTTCTCGGCTTTCTGGTGTTTTTCGATGCGACCGCCCCGATCAGTTGCTGGTATTGGCCTTCGCAGATCGGGAGGGAAACGGCGAAACCCGCCATTCGAGTCGCGTATTTCAAAGGAGTTCTTGTTTTCTGGATGGCGTGGTGAAGAGCTTCTGTTCTTATTGCTGGCAATGGTGTGTTCTGGTATACGAACATGTTATACCAGCCTCTGTTGAGGTCTCCGGCTTTTGGGCGAAGTACAGCCAGTGACCCCGTCACTACGACGGGTGCAGATGGCAATGAATGTGGTGGGCCACCGGAGCTTGGTGAAAGCGCCTGGGGACAGGGCCCCACAGGGCATTTCAACTGCTAGCATTGGTTGGAGACCCCTTTAGGGTCTATATCAACATCCATGGGACTGGAATATTTATACATATATATATATAGCTTATATATAGACATTGGATCATATTGGATGGTTTTAAGATGAACTTTAAGGGTGCATTGACTTCCATATGTGCAGTCCCATTGGGACCGTTGCTGTCACTCATCTTCCTTTCGGGACGTTTCATGACCATGTCTCGGCCGTCCAGGGTCAGGTGGACCATGTCTCGAGCGTCTCGTCTCTTTGACCCACCGGGTGATCGTTTGGTGTCTCGGTGTTCCGTTCGTTTTTTTCTGATTTTTTCTGTGTTATTGATCAACCAGGGTCGAACATTTTGACCCACAGCCATATCACAATAGACAACTATATATTCAAACACACTGTGTAGGCGTCGGCGTGGGTGCAAATTTCTTCGCCGCTCCATGAAAACGGCAAAAAACCTGACAGGATTGAAACAAAATCAACAAATGATGTAAACCTTGGGGTCGGTCAAGTGATACAATATATTGATTACTTTATGAACTATTAATATTACACCCGGGAAGATTAACATAGAACCTGAAAACCACTGGGTTGTAAAGGAAAGTAGTCTTCCAAAGGTCCATTTTCAGGTTCCATGTTAATCTTCCCGGATGTATCCTGCATCAATTAAACTTTGGTGGTTGAACTGCTGACATGCGTTTTGATCGGCATTTCGGGCGCCGCGCCACCGCAGCAAGTACCACAGCACCAGCAAGTGCGGCCAACGGCTAGCTAGACGCTCAACGGACCACTACCAGCTGAGAAGAAAGGCACCCAACTCCAGCTCCTGGCAACGTTTTCACCTGGCCCACACTACAGAGGTAGAGCACCTTGCTCAACAAAAACACGGTGTTTCCTTGTAGAAAGATATCCTCCGCAAGGACTCCTTGGAGAATCTTGGAGACTCGGATGTCTTGTTTTTTGTTTGCTGAGAACGCAACCTCGACATGTTGAAGACGGAGTCGACACCGCGACAGGAAACAGTCGGGATTTGGGATTTGGTGTGTTTATTGGTCAGTGGTGAGTGTATACCCCACCAATGAGTTTGGACACCATCAGATGCACTTGCAGCTTGCAGAGTCTCAGCGTGACAAGCCGTTTTTGATGAACATGCCGTGAATCCATCTGAGATCCCGACACCGTCCACTGGTCGTACCAGGAGTGAACCTAAAACCCTAAACCCTCCGAACAGTGTTTCCACACCCTGCCAGTCCGCCCAATTGCTGCGGACCCGGAGTTGATGAGTGCCATCCAGATCATTCAGACCAAACTTTATGTGCGGGACAGCCATCTGGCGACCTGCAGTGCCGTCAGTCCCGCCGAGCCATTTGATGTGAGTTTTGAGGTCGAAACCAGCGTTTCGATGGGTCAAAAGCTCTGGAGATTCCATTCAGCACCGCATGTAGCCTTAGTAACCTCATGTAACTTCTCAGACTTGGAGCCCTTCGATGCATCGCGCACCAAACGACACCAAACGACCCACAAAACGGGCTGGTTCGACCGATCCAAAACACAGCGTGTGCCTAAAAGGAGGCTGGCCAGCCTCGCCATGTGTGAGGCGAAGTCATCTAGCACAACGATAGTTATCAAGTCGAATCTAGATGTTGGATGATGTTGCTATTTTGGAAGTCCAGCTAAGCCACATGTCCAAAAACTTAAGATGTTTGTTTGTTATCAGAGGAGTCTTTGGTTCAAGAGCCTCCTTGTTCTGAATCTGGGCACACCAGGTCAGACAAGCACACAATTTCTTTTTTGCAGGACTTCATAATAGACAACTCAGCTATAGTTCACCAAAGTCAAACGGTGGGACAGATTGGAGGTGGTTTAGAATGGAAGGAGTTTTTCTCATCTCAAAAAATATTGATTAAAAAATGCAAACACATTTTAAAAAATGCAAATACAGGCAAATAAATGCCATAAAATGCAGAAATATGCGATACTATGCAAGACCTTAGAACATACATATCGTACCATACTCGTCAGACATACGTTGGGAATCGTTGGAGGCACGCGTGGGCTTTGTCGACATTCTTCGGCCATAATCATGTGCATAAAATCCAATGCAATGAAGTCAGTGGCATGGGTCCAGGATCCACACAAAAAAGGTTGCTTATGTTAGGTTTCTTTCCCAGAGTCCAGGTAAATAATTCCCAGAGTTTACAAAACTCCTGGTATTTTGCGGCTAACTAAAAGCTGGGTGCCCGAAAGTAACCAAGTGGTAACCGAATAACAGCAGCAATTAATGACAATAGTCTTAGCCAGTCAGCTGTTTCCATGTCGTATCAGTTGTTATCAGTTGTTTGTGGAGTGACTGACTGTTTCCCCTGTCATGTCTTGATTGTATCAGTCTTATTATTGTCAGTTGTTCATCGCTGCCGGCCGGCTTATGTTGGTTTCTTCGTGGTCTACGACCTGATGTTTTGTTTTGTTGGGGGCTTAGTTCTGATATCTGTCAGTAGAATGGGCAATACCTAAATGTTGAATAGCATGTTTAGAATGCTCATGGACAATTGATGCGATGTTGAATGGACTTTTTGAATGGGCAGTTGATTTATGACGCGCATCCTTCTATGTCCCGAGGCGGGACCTTTGCTGGCTGCCCTGAAGTGCACGTCAAGGTCAGGATGGGCTTGTCTTTGAGTCGGTCTGTCAGCTGTTGGTCATTCACTGAAGATCAAGTGGTTTAGGTAGGCTTGTTTCTATGCTTGTTTCACTGCTTGTTTTTTGTGTCTGGTCAGCGCACAGTGCGAGATTGCATGACATGATCGATGCCTGCAAATTTTGAGCGTCACTGCGATTGAGGCATGCCAAAGGCCAAGATAACATGTTCTCGGGTCAATAAAGTATTAGCTGGCCTCCAGATCCAGAAGCCTCGAAGACTTGACTCCATTGGATTAACATGGCAGCAAGATTTTAAGCTGCAAATTAATTACAGTAAGAAAACTTGAAGTGTTCACTTTTACATCACTGAGACCATCAAGAGGCATTAGCCATTATTAGCACTCAATTCAACTACAATTTAGCATTCAGTTCAGGTGTCACTGACACATCCAATTCATTCGATTGCCATTGAATGGAGCGATCGGTTGCTGTGTCCATCCTGAAGTGGGAAGGGCTTGAGAAGATCAGCAAGTGTCTTGGCTTGAAAGCAAAGTACCAAACATTCACGTGTAACTGTAAATACTGACAGGACGGCAGCAAACATTGTGTGACATGAACTTGTGTGTGTGAGCCAGCGCAAGTATCAAATTAATCACATATGATGTGTATCATCATTGTCAACTTGTTCAGCTTTTGTTTCGCCATAAATGATGCCTTTGACTGGCAGTGTTTTGGTTTGGAAATTCCAAAACAAGTGGCTTGGAGAAAATCAAATGGAGGGGTGAGACAGTGACTATGAGCCCATGAAGTTCACAGAGGATTGCCCGTTTTGTCTGCACACCCATGAAACAAACAAAAAAAGCAAAAGCAGTTCAGCTGGACATAGTACACTCATCATTTCATGAGTTGAGGCATTGTACTTGCTTTGGAAGCTGGACAAAGCCAAAGCAGTGGAGCTCTGGTGGCATGGCTGATGAATTTGAATCATATTTGTCAGGCTGTTGTCAGTTGTTGTGACTTGAAACCAGCAGGTAAAGTAAATGAATGAACCTAACACAGTTACATGTAAAACTGTTTACACAGGGTTGAATTGAAAGTCTATCTATATATGGTTTAGCAAACCGTTGACGAAGGCTAGTGCGCAAACCACTGTCCAAGCGCGCGTCAAACTCGAGTAAACCCGTTGGTTTTTGGATGGCGCTGTAAGGAAATTTGTGCTTGAGAAGTTGGAGACAGATCCACAGTACTTCAAGAACGTCAACGGCTGGATCTTGAAATCTTGCAAGTCCGAGATTGAATTGCAACTTGGAATGGTTAAGCATCTGCACTTATTAACACCTTGTCAAAAGGAATCCACGGTCGGGCTAGGTTGCCTTTACTTTCTTCATAGTTGAAGTGACGTGGTAACATGATGGTATCCTTATATTCAACCAGTCAAGTTTCGTCCATTGAGGGACAACCTTTGCCTCGGCTTCACTGGGGATGGCAACTTCGGCGGCAGACGTCGTTGCAGCGGCAGCCGGAGCAGAATCTTGGTGTTCATACGTCGTCGGCTGTTCGTGTCAGACTATTGGAGTGCTGTTATCATGTTTGTGCGCGGTTTGTTTTGGCTGTTGGTGCCACCTAAACTCAGATGGCAGTAACTCAGATTGGTCAGTAACTCAGATTTGGTTGGAATCAAGTTTGCTAAGCTGGAATCAAGTTAGATCAGTAACTCAGTTTGGAATCAAGTTGGCAGTAACTCAGATTGGTCAGCTCTATTCAGCTGTTGGGTTCAGGGGTTCAATCACATGGGGATGATGACTGAGGTGAATGGACATGAAATCGGCTTCGTTCATTTGAGATCGGGCCATTGGCGTCAATGGCCAGGAAGGGTTGTGATCCTTGGAGTGCCGAAGGAGTCGTGGATCAATTCAACTCGGTGGAGCTCGATTTCATCAGTGCAACATGACCTGTTGGTCTTGCTTCCGTGCCTTTGCCTGGGGTTCAACAGCTCTGTAAACAGTTGAAGTTTGTTGTTTGGCCAAGCATTGGTTCCAAGATGTTTATTTAGTTCACCAAAGTTAAAGTGGCGCAAGGTTCCAACATTGCCACGATGTGTGAACTCAGGAACTATGATAACAAGGGCGGCAAGAAGGGCAAGGGAAAACACAAGGGCAAGGGAAAGGACACTGGCGGTGACTATCCAAAGTCATCTGGCTTTACCCAGGTGACTCAGGCATCAGAAGCTTGGTTGCCTTTAGCCAACAAAGTCGAATTGCAACCTTTGCCCCTCTCGTTACTCTGAGGGTTCTTAATGTGTATCTATTTGTTTCCGGTTGTCTGAGGAGTTGAACTTAAGCGACAGTTGTGCTGTGACAACCTTGTGGCCTGAGGTGTACAAGCAT